AATGTAAATGACAGTTTAATCCAGTTTTTGAAAAAGTCTTCTTTAATACAAAAGTTGAAGCAATTTTACGAAAAAATTCTGTTAATTTTTTTAAAAGCTGTTTTTAACTTCTAAAGGATTGGAGACCAAAGCTCTAAACATGTTACTTTTGGAGTAAATTTTTGGATTTTATATTTTCTAATTTATAATTTCTATGTTTTAACTCTTTTTATAAATATTTTATATAAATTCATGAGCCACTCGGTCTACAAAACATCTACTTAAATAGAACTTTTTACCAAAAGGAAAAAAAAAAAAAAAAAAAAAAGCTATAGCAGCATAGCTAGCTAGACCAAAGTCTTAATTCTCGTAAATGAACTATATTTAATTCCACACTTCAAAAGATATATATTTGAATTCTGAATGTTTAACATAAGATATATATTTGAATTCTGAATGTTTAACATTATACTAGACTAGATATTGTTTGATAAGTATTTCAGTTCAATATATTGTATAACATATTTATTAAAAATATTATTTTTTAATTTGAAATTAAACACAGATAAATTTAAAAATACGATCATGCACATATATAGGACGTAGAAACCAACTAAATCAGTTATATTTATATTATATTTTTAATGATTAAACTAGACAAGTGCCAAAAAATGTGTTGAATCGAGTGTGTACCAATTTTTTTTCTAGTAGACCATTTTGAAAAGTGATATTATACATGGATCCTTCAGTACTCTATGGTATCTTGTTGCTTATATATATTGCAGAGTTTGAGCATTGGAATTTAAGTTACAACGGAAATTCGAGGCTTGTAGTGTCAATTGAGAAAATTTTCATTGATGTCCAGAAGTTTAATGCCTACGTAGAAAACGCATTCGAGGTTATGTTCAAAGCTGCATGCAAAAACCTCTGCTTCAATACAGGTTGTTTAAGATGCCAAATTGTCCACATCACCAAATTATGCCTTTGATGAGTATATCTTCCTACCTTGTTAATCTATTTGCATATTCCATATATAGAATCACTAGATATAAGTGTATATATTAGCATCAAATAATCTAAGTAGGTCAATGATGATCTCCTTCTAATAGAAGTAATAAATTTTAAATTTAAGTTATATGGCAGCATGTAAGTGAGTGTAGGTTGGGAAGAGAGAGCATTGCCTCTCATTGTGCAACCTAAAAAAAAAAAAGTGTATATATTGGCTTCTCATTACTTATTTAATAATATTGTTATAGATTCATTTTTAATTTCCATAGTTAAAAATTGGAAAAATGATGGGTGCTGTAATATCCGGCATTTATTTTATTTTATTTTATTACTTTTAAATAATTTTATTTAAGCCCTTAAAGGATTTAAATGTAAGGAGAGGGAATTAAGAGGTTTAATTATAAAGGAATCAAGAGTGAAAGGACTAACCAAATATTATAACATGTTTTTTTACTAAAACCTAAATAGAAAACGGACTAGGGGTTGGAGAAAGGCTGTAATGCTGCCGCCCACTTTTGAAGGTGCTGTCGCCATTTGTGAAGCATAAGAAAGGGGCTTCCGTCCGATAGACTTGCCAGATTAGTCAAATTGAGGAAATTTTAGGGTAAGTTTCCCAATTATGTGATGGTTTTGTTCTTAGATCTAACTTTATAATTAAGAATGTGAATTGGAAGAGGAATTGAGAGAATTTTTGGAACTCTATTCCATGTCAGATTCGATTCTAGCAATATGGCCTATGATTTGTAGATCTTTTCAATTCTAA